ACTAGTTAATTTAATAACAGTGAGAGCCTTAGCAAAGAACTAAAGTAAGAATTACTGACATTGGAATACAAGTGAATGCTTTAGAAAAATAAAGTGTTGTAGTAATGAGTGACATTGGATTATTAATGAGAGCTTTAGTGAGGAACTGCTATAGTTTTGGGATGTATGAGGTAGACATCTCGGATGCTTTTCTCATTTGGCTCTATCCCAACAAGCCTACAGCCATTCTCTTCTCCTCATTTGGGAGATGTTGGTTGGTTCAATTTTGAGGAGTCACATCTCACTCCCATTTCATTTCTCATTCATTTGGGTGTGTGTGTTTTTATTCATATGTTTGCAAGGCCCAGCCTTCTATTCTTCTTTTGAGGGACATGGAGCAATTGGTTTCCCATGCCATTTTCTCTCCTTCCTTTACTGTGTGGGAGGTTCTCTCCTATTTGGGGACTTGGGCTTCCATAGAACCCTGTATTCCCTTGGGTAGTGTCCATTTCTGCTGTCTGCAATGTACTGCACATTCTATTGATCCTTACTTGAGATCCCTTGTCCTCAACTATTTTCCTTCCTCCTTCCTTATTCAAAAACTTCACCTGGTGACTTGATAAAACTACTATCATAGTGGGTATTCCTCTTCCTCTCATCCAGATCTCCTTCTGTTTCCAGATGAGATGGGGGCATGTGTTGACTCTCATAACATACTGTCCATTCAAATCTATCTCTTAGTACTTTAGGATTTTTTAAAGGACGGTTCATAGGTGTTTCATGATGATACATACAGTCACTCTGCAGTTGACTATCAGTCATTACAGGGAAACTTCATCTCCCTCTCCCTGTTTCCACATTATCAACTTCTTTTTCTGGGCCCATTTTGTACAAGCAAGTCTAATAGCCTGTTTTATTCCAGGTGCCTTGTTGTGAATCATATCTCAAGGCTCCCCAAGATACTACCTATGAATTGGTCCATCATTCCTCTGGTTTTCATCTGAACACTCTTCTAGATGTTTTTGCCACTGTTCTGAACACCCTACTTCCACTTTTGTGGTATCCTGTCTCTCCTACCTCAACCTTAGCTGGGGATGCATTCTGTCAGGACTAGTCCTAATCATATTTTCTCTAATTCTGGACACTCCTTGATGAGTCCTCCCGATAACTCCATCCTGCCAGCTCAGCCATAGTTTATGCTATTTCATTTTCTCCTGTCCTCTCCTCTTCCTTTTACCTCTGATGTCACTTCCTACTCATTCAACCTCACTTTTCCCTCCCCCATCCAACAGTGTCATCACTCTGACTTCACGAGTGTGGTTTGCCCAGGACCTTGTGAGACATTCCAGTGTTTTTACATGTAGCCTTCCTTTTTTCCTGTTCAGTGCATTCCTCCTCCCTCCATGTCTGTCCACTACAAGGGCACACATTCCATAGTTGATCTCTTTGTTATATTTTATTCCATTCCGTTTATTCCCCATCCTTTTAAATTTTTCTGTTGCTTGTTTGATCGAGGCTTATTGCTTTTGGCCATGGCTGGTTACCAGGCAGTTTTACCTAATAATTTTATGTTTTCTTATTATGGTCATGTATTCTCCTTTCCTGTCATTTCTGTACTTTTTTGCCTCCTTCACCCTCCTCATCTTGCAGTCCTTCCTGATTGGAACATGAATATTGCTCTCCATGCCCTTACCCTTTCTCTCTTTGACTCTTTAGTCTCTTGTTCCTTGTACCATTTTTTGCTTAGGTCCTACTTCTTGTTTTTTGCTAGAGGTCATGAGAGATATGATGCATATACAATTGCTGCTTACCATATTTATTCCTTTCATTTCTCCATATTCTTCTTCTTCCATTCCGAATAATTTTCTCTATCCCATCTAATTGGCTCATTGTTCTTCAGCCAACTCTGCTCCTTTACACAGTTCATGCTCCCTTTTATTTATTCTTTGGAATTCCTCATCTCCCTGAGATTTCACCTATTACTCTCAAGGGATGGCTAAGCACCTCATCTGTTTTGCCTATGCTTCATTGGATGCAGATTCACATCAACTCTGACAAGTTTCCTCTTACCACATCCAACACCTTTCTCTCTCACTGGCTCTTCACATCTGTTATCCATTGGAGGGGTTCATGAAAATAGGCATGTGGACTACCCCACTTACTTTTGTCACACATTTTTATCTTCTGGCTGTCTCTTCTTCTTACAGATATGGACATTCTACTGTCACCATACTACATACCCCTTAAAGACTCTGAATGGGTAAGTACTCCTTTTTATGTGTCTTATCTTAACAGTAGCATATTTCTACATAACTGGATCCTACTCTATTATTTTCCCTTTTGCTTTCTGATCTTGAGGTGAAGACAGTTGGAACCCTACTCCTACTGCAGACCAGAAGACAGATACCCAATGCTGCCTTTTTTTGGACTAGAGATGACTCATAAATATGGTCTGACAATCCCTAGCTACTCTACATCATTTGGCATGTCGAATTACAAATTGGATGTGCATCTTTTCCTTCTGATTTATCGACACATATCTTTACAATGGAAGAAGATTATACGTGTTACAGATGGGATGCAGTCTCCAATGAGTGTGTGACCCCGTACAGTAGGGTATCACACTCCATGGGTTCTTTTTGGGCACCTTCCAAAGAGTGCTCGTCTAGGTATCTTTTGCACTGGTCCCTCCATCATTTCAATGTGAGATTATAGGTATTATTTGAGCAGAGGTAAGATATCATATTGGAAGTTAACATTTCCTATGCTGAAAATGTATTTCCAATAGATACTTACCTCCTCTCACCCATCCTTCCCACATTCAATGCATCCTTTTGCCTAATCTCGAAGTGATGATAGTGCTATACGGAATAGAGGGATTCAGCTGAGCTAGAATGGTATGTCACACTCCTATTGGTAGAAGGTTGTAGCATGCTCATTTGTATGCTACAGTGCAGCTATACCATGTGTAATCACGTGAGGGTAGGTGGAAGCATCAAGGCTAGTGGTGAGAAAATATTTTTCATATAGAGAGCAGCTAAAGTCAATAAAGCTATTATGTGGAGGTAAGTCTCAATCAGAAATACATTTTCAGTGTAGGAAAATGCTAACAGTAATGAGTGACACTGGAATATAAGTAAGAGCCTTAGTTAAAACTAATGTAATAATGAATGATGTTGGAATATTAGTGAGAGCCTTAGTATAGAACTGCTTTAGTAATGACTGACACTAGAATATTGGTGAGAGTCTTAGTAAAGAATTGCATTCATAATGAGTGACATTGGAATACAAGTAAGTCTTAATTAGACAAAAGCATTATAGTCGTGATTGACATTGTAATATTAGTAAGAGCCTTAGTAAGGATCTGCATTTATAATGAGTGGCATTCAAATACAAGTGAGTCTTAATTAGACAAAAGCATTATGGTAATGAGTGACATTGTAAGATTAGTGAGAGCCTTATTAAGGAACTATTGTAGTGAAGAATTATTTTGAAGAATAATATGCTTGGACAGTATATCTTGGTACATACCCTTCTCTTTAATAAGTGTTTATGATAATCTTACTATTCCTGAAACTTACTTAAACCTTTTCACTCCTTTGGGAGCATAAGTCATCCACAGGTATTCTCCATTGGATCCAGTTTTTAGCCAGTCTAAACAGCTCATTCGAAGAGTATCCTAATTCCATCAACTCTGCTTCTGCTTGCTTTCTCCAGCTGTTCCTAGGTCAACCATTGTTTCTATTACCCTGAGAGTTCCATCTTAGGGACTGTCTGGTGACATTGTTTGTAGGTTTTTCTAAATGTGTGTCAAACCCAACCTCAATTTCTTTGTTTCATCTGTACACTTATTTTTTATGTTCAGTTCTTTCACACAGGTCCTCATTTCTGATATTGCTTTGCCTGTTTATGTGTAGGATGATCCTTAGACGCTTGTTGATGAAGGCTTGAAGTTTTTCATATATTGCCTTTGTTGTTTTCCATGTTTATGCCCCATACAGATGTACAAATTTAATGTTAGTGTTGAAGGTGTAAAGCTTGATCTTTTGTGATATCTCCTTGGAGTTTCAGATTGGTCTTAGAGTTAGAAATCTTGACCATGCCTTTCCCATCTTTGATTTGATATATTTGTTTGACCTACCATTTTTCCTAATGACACTTTCCAGGTAAGTAAAGGTGTTCACTTTCTCCAACACATCTTCTTGAATGATGATGTCATCTTTGGTGTTGTTGATGTGTATCACCTTGGTTTTACCCTTCATAACAGTGATCCCTATCCTGGCTGATGTTGTTACTAGCCAAGAACTCTTACACATCATTTGTGGTGTGTGATATTATGGCAATATCATCTGAAAAGTCCAGGTCGTCTACTCGTGATCAGAGTGTCCATTGTACCCCCAGGTTTTGACCATATTTACTTTTTCATATTATCCAATCCATTGGCAAGAGGAAGGGTAAGGGTGACAGCAAGCAGCTTTGCTTAATTTCTGTGTCTACCATGAAAGAATCACTGAAGTGGCCATTGTGCACCACTCTGCATGATGAATTTTGACACATCTTTTTGGCAATGGTAGTGAACTTCTCTGGTTTGCCATAGTGTACCATGAGCTTCCACAAAGGTGTTATGTTCCAGACTGTTAAATGCCTTTTGTAAATCAATAAAGGTGATGTAAAGATGCAAGTTCCATTTTAGTGACTGCTTCACAATAATGTTTAGTTCCTCAGCTGTTTGTCTAGTGCCACCATCGACCTTTCTAGGATTATTTTTACCAGGACATTTCCTGGTACAGTAAATACGTGCATGATTAAATTAGAAAGTATGTATTATATTTTATCTTGATAAAGAAACTTTTGTCAAATAAATAATTTTTTTATAAAACTAGACACTGACAAATTATATGATAACTTTTGGTCAAATCTTTTGATTCAGGTGCAATTCCATGTTTTACTAAAAACTAAAATGAAATGATAAATTATAATAATTTGAATAATTAACTAATAACCATTAACAATCATTTCAGGAAGGCTGACATGAACAACTTGAAAATTACACAAAAACTAGAAAAGTGTGAAATTCCTGAAAAATTTAAGGATGTTGTAATTCATGATATAAAAGAATGGAGTGAAATGACTTCAGAGCATCAGGCTTTGTTACAGGGTTTGAGGTAATATAGAACCAATTTTTGGGTGATATTTAAGTAGTTTTAGATTAAGTTCTTAATTTTGTTCAGATAAAACAAATCACATATTTGTAATTTAAGAAAAGCAGAAATAGTATATTTGTATTTAAAGTTGATAGTGCTTTTCTGAGAATACATAAAACATTGTTACTTTGTGAAAAAATAAATTGTATGCCATACAAACACCTTCTTTCAACCCTAAAAAATATTTTAATAGGTGTTATATTGTGCATTAGGCCTACATTTTTGAGGTGAAAAAGAGCATTTGTATTGCATAACTTATTTTTCTACAAAGTAATAATAGTATGTTAGGCTTAGCTCTGTTTAATAATAAACATTAATGCATATGTTTTCTTTGCTTTTTTATATTGGTTTTCTGTATATTTTGCTATTGTTAACATGGTGTTTCTATAGAAATTGGATTTTTCATAGGCTAGAGCATCTTCTATGTATGTCTTTTTTTTGTTAAGAAATGCTGCACATATATTAACCTTAATTTTTTTTGTTTTTACAAAAAAAAATGCTTTGCATTATCACTATTTCTGACATTTTCCGAGTTCCTGGCACACTTTTGTCCGATACGATAATAGCACCTGAAGGCACCCTGACAGCCAGTTTTGTTACCACCATTGGGCACTTGGTGGTTGGTTTCATTCTGATCTTGGATCTTGGCTTTCCTATCTCCTGCTTCTGTTAGTTCATCTGAACTTGCCCCATTGATGTTTCCTTTGCACATTGAGTTTCAGTACCTATGGTGAGAAAAGTACAGATAGCTTATTGTATAGTTTTGTGCTTAACAACAAACAAACAATATTACTTGGTGACCAATTTCATAGCCAATTCTGACACTGAAGTGTGCGTCTAATACATTTTTTATGCTTACCTTTACTTCTAGCTCTCTTTCCAGTGATGATCAGGTTATCCAACCTTCATACAACTTCGAAACCCAACTCCATAATCTTGTATTGGGTCAAACGTGCCACATGTGGATGTGCATTGTCATGGAAAAGAACAACTTTTTGATTGACGAGTGAAGGGCATTTCTGATGAAGGGTTTGATTTAAATGTTCCAGTTGCTGACTGTAGATCTCTAGATTGAAAGTTCGCTGTGGATTGAGGAGTTTGAAATGAATTACTCCTTTGATGTCCCACCAAATGCAAAACATGACTTTATGCAGATGGAGTCCAGGGTTTGGGGTTAGAAGTGGTTTTTGGCATTAAATATTCGTATAGATAATCTATTTTTCATCACTGGTGACAATTTTGTCCAAAAATGGTTCACACACACATTACGTGTCAGAAAAGACAAAGCAACATTCACACGGAAACAATGATCATCGGAGAGTTTGTGGGACACCCAAACACCTTCTTTAAGGAGTTTTCTCATATTCCTCAGATGTTTACATATTGTTTCATGAGAGACATGCAATTGCAGGGCCATTTCACAAGTGTGTTGCCTTGGGTTAGACTCAACAAGCGTCTTCAGAATATCAATATTAATTCCAACATGTCAGCCCCTCCTATCACAGTTTTTAAGGCATATTCACCTGAACGAAATTTGCTGAACCATTGTTCACACTTACGAATGTTCAAAACATTTCCATAAACTTCTTTGATATTCTTTGTGGCTACAGAGGCATTGTTTCCCTTCTTGTATTCAAACAGCATTACATGCCGAATGTTTATCTCGTCATGTGCCATCACTATAAAGCATTAGAGTATACTAAACTTCACACATTATATAGGCTACACTAATGTGATGTTTAGGCAGTTCATTTAACTATTATATGTGATGTACGTTTTTTGGAGGGTGGTTAATGAAAGTGTTCCAAAACATGACATTAATTTCCTGATGACCAAATATTTATTGGTTCCCCAGTTTCTTCAGTCAGGATCTTTCTTCACTCTCAAGGGATTGTTAAGTCAGAACACTACTACAATTTGGGTTCCTCTACTGCCGTTTTGTCCAGAGTTCTATTCTCTTCACTAATGTCTTGCTTCAGGGATGGGGTGCATATACCAAAAATCAGGAATTTTAGACTCTATGTGTGGACGATGAGGATTCCCTACATAATGTTTTCATCCTTCTTGCTCTTCAACAGGTAATGCCTCATAGTCTAGGGCTCCTTATTTTTAAATTTTGAACATCCTTTCTCGGGACTAGTCCCACCTTATCACCCTTCTAGCTTCCCATGTTTCATGGGTGATGCCTGTGCTAGCAGGTCCATTGTCTCAATCCATACCTATTCTCATTGTTCATTGTTGCATCACAACGTTCTGTAGGATTGGCTCTCATTTTGCAACTCTAATTGGTGGGGTCGTTTCCAATACCTCATCTTTGGGCATTGACAATGACTGCTTTCTATCTGAACAAGACTGGACATGTTACCCAGGATAAGAAATATGATTTGTTTCAACAATGGTCATATCCTATTGATAACACCAGATTGGCTGATACTGCTATGGGTTTCTGCTTCTGCAGTCCCTTCCAGTGTGTCCAACTCTTCCACTTCTTTTTAGGCTCTTGCTGTGGAGGCAACCATGATCTATTATGGTACACCAGGCTATCCAGAAGCTCAAGCTTCTGGCATAGAGGTTATGCTGTATTTTGTACAGCATTAAGGTTTAATTTATAAGGATGACATGTATCTGTCTCAGTTTCTTCTTAGTCCAAAAGACACTTATCAGTGATAATGATATGCATATTGGCAATGTTGTACTAAGAGTTGGTTGAACCCTTTTCAACCTGTGGTGTTAACCATAACTCTTTTTTTTTTACTTGCCTCTTTGACAATCACCATTGTTTATGGTGGCTTTATTAACTAATTGTTTGGTTATCACAACTTCATATTTTTTAATCCCCAGTACTCTCCAGATTCCTCACATCGTTTAAGGTAATTGGTCCAAAATGACCATTCCAGTTACCTACCAATTAGATTACTGTTAAGTGTTCTTCCTCTACACCTGTTTGTGACCTGGATCTAATATGTAATGTTGTGGTCCAATTGCTCTCGCCACCAATGTGGGATATAAGAACCAAGACCCCTTAATTCCAACCCTGAGTAATGGAACCTTGGCTGTCTGGTTAGGGCTAGCCTAATAATAATGATCACTCATGTACAATTCCACCCTTGATACAGAAACTAAGTTCAGGTTGAAGAGAATATCTGTTCTGGATGTCGTATGGTTCCCTCACTTGGGTACCAATATTATCTTGGTATACCCATGATCTATACAGATGCTTTCTGTATGGATAATATACTTACTTTTGCTGACACTGTCCCACCCTTTCTCCCCACTAAGAATTAGTGTTAGAGACTGGGATGGTGAAAAAGTGATAAAATTATCTGAATGAGGTGCTTATATACAATACCAGGATAGAGGGTGCATTGACATAGGTGGAAAGTATCACAAGACAACTATTGCCAAGAGCAATTGAATGGGATATAAAAGACTGGAGCAAGTGAGAAAAAATCAGGCCAATGTTTAGATGGGCAAAGAAGAAACCCTAGTGCTCAAGTAATAGCTGTAAGTGTCAGCAGAGGCAAGTATTATTCTAAATACATTTTCAATTTAGGAATATGCAAACTTTTTTTATATGCCTAGTTATTATAGATTGCTTTTATACCCAAGAAAGAT